AAAAAAAAAAAAAAGAAGAAGAAGAAGAGGAAGAATGGTTATGATGAGGGAGGAGGAGGCTGGGTGTGGTGGTTCACTCCTGTAATCCCAGCACTTTGGGAGGCTGAGGTGAGACAATCACTTGAGTATAAAGAGTTTGAGACCAGACCAACATAGCAAGACCCCATATCTAAAAAAAAAGAAAAAAAATTTTTAAATGCTTAAAAATTAGCCAGGCATGCTGTGCTTGCCTGTAGTCTCAGCTACCTGGGGAGGCTGAGGCAGGAAGATCACTTGAGCCCAGGAGGTCAAGGCTATAATGAATTATGATCACACCACTGCAATCCAGCCTGGGTGACAGAGCAACACTTGATTAAAAAAAAAAAAAAAGTAAAAGAAGAAGGAGGAGGAGGAAAGAAGGAAAGGAGGAGACGAGGAGGAGGAGGAGGAGGAAGAGGAGGAAGGCAGAAGGAAACACATGTTGGGGAGGATGTGCAGAAAATTATTTTTAAAAACCTCAGACATTGCTGGTGGAAATGGAAAATGGTGCAGCTGCTATGCAAAAGCTTGAGGGTTCCACAAAGAGTTAAAATCGAGTAATTATGTGACTCAGCAACTCCACTGGAGTCCACACCCCACAAGAGTTGACAGCAGTGAGTCAAGAAGATACCTGTGCATACACGTTTATAGCAGCATTAGTCACCTCCGCCAAAAGGAAGCAACAACACAAATACCCACCAATGGATGAATGGATGAACACAATGTGTTCCAGACACGCTGTGGAATATTACACAGCCATAAAAAGGAATGAGGCACTGATCCATGCTACAGCCTGGATGAACCTTGAGTATATGATGCAGAGTGACAGAAGCCAGAATGCCACCTCTTGTATGACTCCATTGATATGAAATGTCCAGAATAGGCAAATCCACAGAAACAGGAAGTAGATAAATGGTTGTCAGTCGCTTGAGGAGGGGGAATGGGGAGTGACTTCTAATAAGGACGGGGTCTCCTTTTGGGGGGATGAAAATCTTTTGGAGCTAGACAGAGGTAATGGTTGTACAACACTAAATGCCACTGAATAAAATGGTTAATTTTATGTTATGTAAGTTTCATTTCGATTTTTTTAAAGTGCTGTGGGAATAACAGGGGGATCAGTTGGGGAAGGGATCCAGGATTCTCCCTAGCCTCCTGGAGGAAGCAACATTTACCCAAAGCCTTGAAGGAGGTAAGTAGAGGGGAAATCACAGCCAATGACAGAGTCCCTGGGTTGAGATAAAATGAAATGTGAATTTTTAAATTTTGTTATTTCTTTTTTGAGACACAGCCTCGCTCTGTCGCTCAGGCTGGAGTGCAGTGATGTGATCTCAGCTCACTGCAGCCTCGACCTCCTGGGCTCAAGCGATCCTCCTGTCTCAGTCCCTAAAGTAGCTGGGTCCACAGGCCTGCACCACCACACCAGGCTAACTTCCTTATTTTTTGTAGAGATGAGGTCTGGCTATGTTGTCCAGGCTGGTCTCAAACTCCTCGGCTCAAGCCATCCTCCTGCCTCAGCCTCCCAAAGTGCTGGGATTACAGGCGTGAACCGCCTCACCCAGCCCTTTCTCTCTTTCTCTCTCTCTTTTTTTTTTTCAGACAGAGTCTCACTCTGTCAGCCAGGCTGGAGTGTGCAGTGGTGCAATCTCGGCTCATTGCAACCTCTACCTCCCTGATTCAAACATTCCTCCCACCTCAGCCTCCCAAGTAGCTAGGACTACAGGGATGTACCACCACGCCCAGCTAATTTTTTTTTTTTTTCACCATGTTGGCCAGGCTGGTCTTGAACTCCTGACCTCAAGTGATCCACCCGCCTCGGACTCCTAAAGTGCTGGGATTACAGGCAAGAGCCACCGCGCCCGGCCTCCTTTCTGTTTTTTATTTATTTTTTTTTTAAAAATATTTATTTATTTATTTATTTATTTATGGCATGATCTCAGCTCATTGCAACCTCCGCCTCCTGGGTTCAAGCAATTCTCCTGCCTTAGCCTCCCAAGTAGCTGGGATTACAGGCTCCGGCCACCACACCCGGCTAATTTTTGTGTTTTTAGTAGAGACGGGGTTTCACCATATTGGCCAGGCTGGTCTGGAACTCTTGACCTTGTAATCCGCCCGCCTTGGCCTCTCAAAGTGCTGGGATTACAGGCGAGAACCACCGCGCCAGGCCTCCTTTTTCTTGTTTTAAACAACAATAAAATTGATGCTTAGGGCGGCAGGGGGCGAGGTGGTGTCCTTTTCTGAACTTAGAGAGCTGTGGGGTTCCCGCGATCCAGTCCCTCGTGGGGCCTCCCCGCCCTGTGTCCCGTGCCAGGCCCCGCCCCGCCAGGCCCAGCGGACCAAGAGGGGGCGCCCGCGGGGCCCCGGGAGGGAGGAGAAAAGACTTTGTCCCAAGTTTTCGCGGAGATTCGGCGTCCCCGCTGCGACCAGCACCCCAGAGCCCCCGTCCATCTGGCGACCCCCAGCCCAGCCCCCGAACTTTCAGACACTCCCTGCGGCCCCGCCCCCTCGGGGACCCCCTGGGGACCCTCGGACTCCCCCCAACTCCCCTGCCCCCTAAAACCACTTCGATTCCTCAACTGTTCCCCCGGCCAGCGGGAACCCTCGCCATGTCTCGCTCTTACGGCGGCCGGGTGCTGGCCGCAATGACCCTGTTGGGCATCGCGGCGGCCGTGCTGACGGCGCT